CCTCCTGCCTGCCCCGCGCCTGCCCCACGCCTGTGCGGCCTCATGCCCGGCTGGGCTCTGTGCCGTGCTGCCGGCCCTGCCATCCCCAGCCTGTGTTTGCACAGCTGATTGTTCCCGGCTCAGCGTACTGCCTTGCACTTGTCCCTGTTGAATTTCATCCTATTTTTTCCAGTCCATTTCTCCAATTTGTCAAGATCATTTGGAATTCTAATCCTGTCCTCCAAGATACTTGTAGTCCCTCCCAGCTTCATGTCATCTGCAAATTTAATAAGCACTTTCTCTATTCCATCATCCAGGTCCTTAATGAAAACATTGAGCAAACCAGAACCAGGGCAAGCCCTTCGCCATCCGAGCAGCCCGACACGTTCCGTGCTCACCATGCTCTGCCCAAACATCTTGGGAAAGGGTGCCAGACCTTTGCCATGCTGGCTGTGCCTCACTGCATCCCCCAGCTCATGCGGGACCTCTGCTTCGCTGCCCTGGAGTGGTGCTGGGACCAGCACGTGCTGCCTGCGTCAAGGGAGCTGGTGTTGGGGTGAGGCTGGGAGGGGACAGGGGTTTGTCTCCAGGGGGGCTCCAGTTCAAGCTGCCACTATCTGGCACGATGCCAATGGCTGGGGCCAGCCCCTGTGTGCTGAACACCACAGGGCCATGCCCTGCAATTCCCTGCTGTGGGACATGCCAGCGGTGCAAGGAGGGCATGTGGAGCAGCCGCGGTGCATCCCGAGCTGGGGTGCATGGCAGTGACCATGGCTACAAGTGGGGTGCTGAGAGGAACAGGTGTCCAGCAGTGGGAGGGCAAGAAGCCCTTCACCCAGGTAGTCAGTGTGGGCACAGGGGCAGCAGAGCAGCCCTGATGAGGCCGTCCTCTCCCCCCCCCTCACAGCTACCCACCTAAATTTCCTCCAGGTGAGGCTCTGCCTAGCCCTGCTATGTGGCAGGGACCTGAAGCCAGGCCCAGGAGGAGATGTCTCATGTGCTGCCCCTGGCTACAGCCATCTCCTTTCTTTAATTGATTGTAGAAAGCAATTTACAAAATACAAACTGCTGCCTGTGCCAAGCCCTGCGTGTCCAGGCAAAGCCTAATTTCACAGTAAAATTTCAAGTGCAATGAATGGCTTTTCCCAGCACCACTCCATGTCCAAGCCAAGAGCTTTGCAGGCTGCATGGACTGCGCTGAGTAGCCCAGAAATGGCTCTTCACTGCCCTGCTGAGCACGCAGCTCCCCAGGCTCGCTGTCACAATGGCCATGGCACCTCTGCCAGCACTCACTGGGCTGGCATGGCTGCATGGGACCACCATGGCTGCAGCTTGGTCTGGGGAGACCCACAAGCCCCAAATCTCCAAGCAGACAGCTGGATGCCGCAGGCATTCCGCATGGTCCATGTGGCCGTTGGGGAGGTGTCCCAGCAGGGCTGGCTGGTGCTGCAGTGGTGGGGGCTCAGCTGAGAGCTGATGCTCCCAGCCCTGGCTCCTTTCATATCAAAGTCATAATTTCATGGTCAGGGTCTAGGAGGCTTGTACAAACAGATGCATTAATTCTGCATTTAGTGATACAGGAATAATTGGTGTCACATCAATTAGATCAGTTCTTGGATACTGCAGTGATAAGTGCTGTGCAAAGGCCCCTGGGCTGCGGGATGTGAGGAATTCCAGCGGTGAGCAAGGCTGGTGGGGTTGGCAGCAGTGGGCAGAGCAGGGTTGGCAGGCATATTGGGTGCTGAGAGAGTGGCAGAAGTGTGCATTGCTTTTGCCTTTGCAGGACAGTGGCAAGGCCTGGGGCTCTCACAGTGGTCAGTTCCTAGGGCTGCTGTGCTGGGGGACACTGCACGGCCTGGGGGTGCAGGGGGAAGGGCTGGCAACGTGGCATAATGCCCCAGCCGTCCCAACGCGGTGCTCCTCTGTGTCAAGCCACTTGCTGGGCACCTAGTTCATCCTCATCCACTGTGTCCCTTATCCCTGGGGGGGGCAGGACTTTGCAGGCATGGTGGATTTTACTGGCTCGCTGCTCCCCACCCCAGCAGCTAATGGGAGGAGGCTCAGGTGGGTCTCAGGCAGCGTGGAGACCCCCTGTGCTCACGCTCCTACAGTACAGATTGGCACTGTCAGCCCCATCCCCGCTGTGGATTGTAGGCAGAGGTAATTTGCAGATGACAAATATCCCTGACAGTAAATATTTTTCCCACCCTCATCTCTCTACAAGCAGATAAGGTGGCAGCACTGTGGCAATACGGTTTCTGGAGGGAGACAAACTCTTTGGCAGACTTAAAAGTCTATTGTGTCCCCGCAATTATTTATAGATAAAGAGAAGAAAGCCAATAAGCAGAGAATGGGGCTGCACAGCTGCATTTGTTATGACGATGATGATGATGTTATCTCTCCCTCACACCCACACACACATCTCCAGCGCATGGAAACTCACTGCTGGCAACAATCAAATCCCTATCTGGGACAAGGCAGGAGAGGCTGGAGGTTTTGCCCTCTCCTCACTGACTTGCACCCAGCCTGTTTTGCCCCCAACACATAACTCCAGCAGCTTCTCTCAGTGAGCCATAGCACCCACAGGGCCCTGGGGTACCCATGCAACAGTGCAGTCCCTCCTTGGGGCACCCTGAGCTGCTGCCTCTTTGTTCCTGGCTGCAGCAGGATGTGGAGATCTAGTGGCATTCACCTCATTAAAACAGCCCTTGGGGTGCTGGGTGCCTTGTGGTGAGGGTCTGGGGTTTTGTGCAAGGAATATGGGACTGTCTGGGTCCTCACCAGCTTGTGCAGCAGGACTCCAGGGTGGAGTGGGTGCTCCCCGCTCCTGGCCAGGGTACAGGGGTGAGTCTGTCATCTCTCCCTGCTCCACACAGCCAGGACCTCCTCTCCCATCCCACACCATTGCTGAGAACAGAAACGGGGGTGTTTGGAGGGATTAACTGATGTGGCAGGCATGGGCAATGGGGGTCGCTGCCAACGAGCGTTTCTGCAGCCGGTGGAGCAGAGACACCCTGAGTGAGAAACACGGACTGCAGCGTGAGAAGGGGTCGGGAAGCACCACATTCTCCCTGTTCAGTGAGTGCTGCAGGAGCCCAAGGTGGGGGCCGGGGGACTAGCAGGGCTGGATGCACAGAAGGGAAGGGCAAAGAAGTTGTGGGCTCAAGGCCTGGGGTGCCGGGCACCGGGGTCCATGGGTGAGCTGTCACACGTGTGACACCAGGACCCTCCACTAGCCTGTGTCTCCCCATGTCCTGGGGTCCTGTATGGCATCACCTGTCTGCTGCAGGGGCAGGAGCCCCACCACTCCCCCGGGCATGCACAATCACTGCTCCTCCCCGGTACTGGGGGTGTGAGAGGGATGTGCACCCCTGCCAAGTGCTCAGCCCTGTCTCAGTGGAATCCCCATCCTGGGAAAGCCCCGGGACAAGCTCTCCAGCTGCAGACAGCATCCGAGACAGCAACTGGGAGCCCTTAACTGGGCTGGAGAATGGGATGATTTTTCATTGCCTCCTCATAATAAGAGGACAGGAGTAAGTGACTAGTACAGTCCGTTCACTCGGTAAAGATTTATACAATCACTTCATCCAGTAATTGGTATTCTGGGGAGAAAGAGAGCTGCAGCTCCAGCATCCGCCTCTATTTGTTTTATCTCTGTCTTTCTCTCTTTCTCTCCCCTTTTCAGAATGAGTAATTCTGTCCCTCACAATCCCATTTAAACAGAGCATTTGCAGAGTGAATAATTAGTTACATTCAATTAGACCTCACATGCTCTCCCTCCTCACTTTGGGGGACAGACGGGCTAATGAGATGGCACATGTCTAACATGCGGGAGCAGGCACTGAACATGCTGTGTGCCAGCCGGGAAGGGTCAGCCCTGGGGGAGGTGGCCCCAGAGGGGCTGGCCCACCACTGTGGGGAGACAGTCCTTTGGGGGCCATTCGGGGCCAAAAGCTTCATGTTTGAGGCCAAAGACTCTGCATCTGTGGCCCACATGACACCAGCCCCCTCCTCCAGCAGGAGCAGGGTCATATTTGTCCCCAAAACTGGGTGTTCTCTAGGCTGGTGCCAAGGGAATGCTGGCCAGGCTGGGACCACCCCATCGGCACTGCTGGGAGCGCTGAGCCCTGAGAGGAGGGAAAGCTCCTGACATGCTTTTATCTCCCTTATTAAACCTAACATTAGGTTTTAAGAGGAACCTTAAATAATGTGCCACTGCCTGTACAGGCAGTCGCTCCTTGCTCCAGCTGCTCCTGCTCTGGGATTTATGGCCTTTGCTGTGCCGTGCTGCCTGTGCTCAGGTGGTGGTGGGTCGCGGGCTGTGGCTGCTCCAGTACCTGAAGCCTGCACTGGGCTTGGTGCCACTGAAGTCCAGCCCCACACCAGTGTGTTGGGGGCCACAGTGGCTCTGCTGTTGCCCCCCAGCACCCTGCAGCAGGATGGACCCCACTTGTGCATCTGCTGCCGGAGCAGCAAGGTGAGGTCACAGAGCTGCCTGCTGCAGGCAGCCCTGCCTGCACTCTCGGTCCCCTGTGGGCCCAGACGGGGTGTGCTGGTGAGGTCCTGGGACCACGGTGTGGGTCAGCATAGCTAGTGGGGGCTTTTCCCTCCCTCCTCTGGTTGAAGCATCTGTCCGGGAGCACCTGCCCATGTCCAGAACGTCTCTCCCGCAGCATCAGACCTGCAAGCCCCGGTCCCGGGGGCGCCGGTGGGCGCGGGGGCTCGGGCTGCTCACTCACAGGGGGCGGATAATGACGTTTAATCACAGGTTTTTGCCAACGGTGGGTGGAGGGTGACGGAGCGCGGCCGCTCCCGCACGTACCGGCGGGTGCGCGGGGGAGCCGCGGGAGAAGGGCCCGCGCTGGGCAGTCCCGGGGCCAGCGCCCCCCGAACCCACCCGGAGCCCACGCGGGGCGGTGCCGGTCCCTCCCCGCGCAGCCCGCGCCGGTCCCGCAGCACCATCTCCCGGCCGCCGCACGCCGGTGTCCGCGGTCCGGCCCCGCCGCCCCGATCCCCGCCCCGTCTCAGAGCTGAGCCGCGGGCCCGCCGGTTCATCCCACGGAGCCCGGCAGCGCTGGGCGGCACTGGGGGACGGGGCCGGTACGAGGTACCCGGTGCCCTGCCCTGGCAGCAGCACCCACCGGGCCCTGCTCCAGCACGGAAGGCACTTCCACAGCCCCCTGGACAGCTGGCTGAGCTCTGCCGTGGTGGTCCCACACCCGCAGGCCCCACTCCTGGCCGTGGCATCCCCAGCACGCAGGGAGACTCTGAGCTGGGGGTCTTGCCATCAGCCGCTACACTCTGCTGAGGCAGCCCTGGTGGGTGCACCGGGCTCTGCCAGGGGTCAGCAGGGGAGCAGCCACACTGGGCTTCACTGCAGCACCCACTTGGGCAGCAGGATGGGACCCTGTTCTGTGCACCCATGTGGGCAGCCGAACCTCGCTCCATGTCCCTGTGCAGGCAATCAAGCCTTGCTCCACCAGGGCAGCCCAGGGCAGGTGGCCAGACCAGGTGCTAGCTGTGGTGGTATTCCCGTGGGGTGGTCCTGCCATGGTCCACCACAGCATCACATCACTCGCAGCCAGGCCAGATGCCAGATTTCCTCCCCAGCTGGAGAGGGGACAGTGGAGATGGTGCTGTTCCCAGTCCGTGCTCCCGTCGGAGGCAGTGCCCTGCGCCCTCACACCATCTCCTGCTCCGACATGCGGCTCTCCTTGCCATCCTCCTGGACCACGGGCTGGCCTCTGAGTAGGGTCTCCTGCACAGGCAAGACATTCTCATCCTGCTCCGTGGGCTGCTGCTTATTTGCGTTCTCTCCGGGCATCCCAGCCTTTATATGCACAGGGGAGGGGTCAGGGGCATGCAGCTACAACCCCCCCACCTCTGCACCCGTGTCTTTCCACAGGCTCCTGATACACTGCCATGACTGCCAGAGTGTTGCTCTGTGTAGGTCCCTCCCAAATGCTCAGTGCTTGCCAGCAGCACCCCAGGGTTGCCAGAGCCCCTGTCCTGCTCCAATCTAGGCAGCCTAGTTCAGCCCCCACCCCTACTGCCCTGCAAAGCCACAGTCCCTGCTCTGCTTATAGTGCATCCCCAGCTGTGCCCAGGAGGGATCCCAACCCACCCAACCTACTGCTGGAGGGGGGCTCTGGGCAGACTCACCTCCTTCTGCACCCGTCGTCTGGAATCTGGATGAAAAGAGGGACAGAGAAGGCTGAGTTCAGCGGGGAGCACTCCTGCCTGCAGGGAGCTTCCCGGGGTCAGAGCTGGGGCTGGTGCTGCTGCACCACAGGTCGTGCAGCTCACTTATTGTGCTTGCTGCCACTGCCAGGCTGGGGAGGCTGGGAGCCATGGCAGAAGCCAGACTGGACCCACAGGGCACCAGCACTGTCCCCCAAGAGCTGGCCTGGCTCAGGCTGCAGCCGTGCCAAGACGCCTGCTCCCGAGGACAGAGCCCCTGATCCAGCAGGGCAATGGGCTCGGGGAGCCCTGCCCTGGTGGTGTCCCCAGAGGGGCTGTCCCACTCTCAGCAGAACTGCTGCTGTCCTCCCCTGTTCAGCCCTGTTTGGCTCCTCTGGCCAAGGCACCACTTCCTGTGCCCCAGCCCCTCACCTCTGTCGACCAGGCAGTAGATGCAGACACCCACGAGGCACGTGACGACTGCGGCCATGACGGGGATCAGCACCGACAGCGAGGAGCGCCTGCCCGACTCTGCAGGGGGAGATGGGGTCAGTGGGGCACCCACGGGACACCCACAGGACACCCACGGTGACCCCAAGTGCCCCGAGCTGCCTCTGCACCAGGCCCAGCCCAGAGAGGCAGAAAAACATCACACCGGCCATGTGCTCAGACTCTCCTCTCCCAAAACCACCCAGGGGCAAGGCCAGCTCTTCCAAGTGCTGCAGGAGCCAGAGCTCTGGGAGGTCTCTGCTTTGCACCAGATGAGCCCTGGGCACTGAGCACTTACCGCAGATCACATCCGAGGTGTTTGTCCCTTTCACCTTCAGAGCCAGCCCCTTTTCTTCACAGCTGCAGGGAAGAAAAAGACCATGTAACCACAGCAGCAGCCCAAACACAAGGAAAGCCCCCAGGCAGGAACAGCTGGGGCTGGGCAGGCACCCAAGCTGTGCCAGAATGAGTCCTGTACTGAGCCTGCCGTGCTCCAGGGTGAGCAGCCACAGGCCCCCACTGACACAGCGGGATGGGGACAGCAGGTACACAGCAGTGTACCAGCCTGGGATCTGGTCTGGAGTTGCTGAAACTGCTCAAGATGGGAACAAGTTTAGGGACAAGGCACAGGAAGGAGTAGATACTTGAGACCTGTCTGGTCAGGGAGGCCCCAGGGCTTGAGCACTGCAGCTATGACAGAAAAGCTTACAGTGGACTTGATGACAGGCTACAAGTGGCTCCACGGGGATGTAATTTCTAGGCACAGATAAAAGCAAAGCGAAATCCAATGGCTGGCAGCTGAAGCAAGACTAATTCAGCATGGAAACAAGGCTCACGTTTTTACCAGGGTGTGCGATTAACCCCTCAAGCAGCTTTCTAAAGACAGGGATGACCTGCCAGCCCATGGCATCCTCAAAGCCAGACTCCCCATGGAGAGGACTTGTGCCTGGGCTGATGACTACAGCCATGGAGAGTGCTGGCAGGGAAACCCCAAGCAGGGCATGGGGCATCCCTCATTCCTTGCTCCCAGCACAGATGACAGGATGGATACCCCTGAAGGGGCGAGCACTCTGTGCACATACTGAAGGACCGTCACAAGGGTTTGGATGTCTGCCTCAACCTCACCCATGCTGCCCTGAACTTCACCGTGCTCCCAGCCCTCCTCCTCTCGCTCCAGCCCTACGCCAGCCAAATGCTGTGTCACTTAGAGACCAGCCCGGCTACCCAGTCCTTGAGGCTGCCAAAGAGACCTGCAGCAGAGGATGTGCTCACTGGAGCTGGGGGAAGGACATGGTCAGCACTCAGACAATACCTTGTCCAAGGATGGCATGGCTCAGTTTTAGAAGATACATTGGAGAAGGTGCCTTCTGCACAGGGTTCACAGGGGGATGTCTTCCTTTCCATGGCCTTGGCTAGAGAGGAGCAGAGGTGACAGGAAAGTCAGTAGGGGCTATGGGGGGCAAGGGGCTGCTGAGGCCAGGTGGGCAGCACGCCCTGTGGCAAGGCTATCAGGCGTGGCAGCAGGTACAGCTCTCCCAAAGCCCTGCCAGGGGCACCTTGCTGGGCGAGCTCCTGTTCCCTGCACCACCTGAGGTTGGTGCTGCCAGGGCATCGGACTCACCTGCCACGAAGCCAGAGCCGGGCCTGCAGGGCTGGTTCTCCACGCAGGTCTGGCAGCTGGTGTCCGAGCAGTGCATGCCGGGCTGGCACTGGCACACCGTGTTGTGCGTGGCATTTCCATGTGTCTTCACGATGAGTCCAGCGTCTGGGCAAAGGGAGAACAGGCAAGGTGAGACAGCGGGCAGGTGAACCTGGGAGGACATCAGCCTCCACAGTCCTCACAGGTTGGGTCCAGTGGCCACAGGGACCACTTACTGTGTTCACAGATGTCATGAGGAGCACAATGCTTCTCCTTGGTCCAGCTCTGCTGATATTGCCCCATCTCACAGAGGGTGCAGACAGAGGTTTCTGTTTTATCGCACTCGGAGACCAGCTTTTCCCCTGCAATAGATGCTGGTGAGGAGAGGGCAAGGGGGCTTTCCCTCTTTCCAGGCAGCATCTCTGCCAGCAGGACAGTGGAGCGCTGGTGGGTGTGGACACTGGGACTGCTGCAGCATTCTGCTCAGTAGCCAGGGCTGCAGGGGCCAGCTCGCCTGCTGGCTGCACATGCTGAAGGGCCAAGGCAGGAAGGGAGGGCTGTGGGGGCACTCCAGCACTCCAGGGACTGGGAAAAAACCTGACAGTGACAGCAGGAGCTGGCAAAAGCCATCACAATTTGCTAGTGCCAGTGGCAGCACTCTCCCAGCAAGCTGCCTTTGCCATGAGGTCCTGTGACTGCAAGAGTACAGACAGTCCCAAGAGAGCTGTGGCAGATTTGGTGAGGTCCAGGGCGTCTCCTAGGGTACCCACAAGGTCCCAGTTGTTCTAGTACTGAGACGACACAGGGAGAGGATGCTGTCAGCACTGCTGGCAAGGGGGTGGAGGGGCTCAGTCACACCGAGCTGGGCCCTGGCACAGCCCAGCCACAAGGTCCCCAGGAAGGGGTTTCCATACCTGGCCGACACCGGTTGCAGCACCTGCCCTTGTACTCATACTGCTTATCAGAGCACGTTAAGGCATCACCAGGCTCCCAGCACTGCAAGAAACAGGACCTGTGAATTCATACCCAGCACTCCCACACTGCCACACTTCCACAGGCACTGTGCGTGTTAACCTGCACCCCGAGGTGAGGGTTTCCTCACACCACTCTTCCTACGCCTGCACTAACCACAGACCACAGCAGCCACCCACTGCCTGATGCCATCAGTGCTCTCTTTGAAGTGGGGTGGCAGCAATTCCGGTAGGATGTCACCACAGTTCCACAGATTTCCTACTAGACGGTGATTTGCACATAACCCTGTGCCCCTGCCAACAGTGCTGTGGTCCCAGGCTGAGGGAGCACCATTCACCCATCTTCCGTGCCCAGAGCACCGACAGCCCCTTCCCAAGGCTGATGCACCGCCCCTAAGGGACAGGAAAGCCCCAAGCAAGCGCATCATCCATGCAAAGCCTGCCAGGGCCTGGCCTTGCTCCTCCTGGCAGGGGACTGCCCGGACAGGGAAGGGTGGAGAGGGAGCAGGGAATGAGTCCTTGGGCCTGCCGAGGTGCAGGAGGGCACCCGCAGCACGTCCCTCGCACAGAGCGAGCCCCTTGCTGCCCACCCCCAGTATCCCGGCAGCTCCTGGCGGACCCGCCTGAGCCTGGCCATCCTGGGGAGCGGGACTGGGGCTCCAGCAGAGTCGCGGTGCGAGAGGGCTGCAGGCGAGGGAGGGCCGGGCCGAGGGTGCCATGGGCGAGGACCCAGCACGACTGGGCAGTGCCGACCCCCGTGAGTCCCTCGAGCATCCCCACCTCAGGGAGGCAGCGATGGGGCCGCGGGGCTCGGCGGAGGCAGAGCGGGGATGCCCGAGCCCGATTGGCGCCGTCCCCGCCCGCACGGAGCCGGAGGGGAAGTGAAAGGGGCGCAGGCAGCCGGTTCCAGCGCCCCCGCCCGACTGGGGGTCCCAACCGAGGGCCCCGGGGCTCGCCGCTGCCGGTCCCTGCCCGAGGGGATCCCCGGGCCGGCGTTGGGCTGGGCTGGGCTGGGCTGCCGGGCCCGCGCCCTCGGGGCAAAGCGAAAGCGCGTGGGAAGGAGGACCTGGAGAGGAGCCCGGCCAGCCCATCCCGCTCCTCCGCCCGGCAGGCCGGACCGACGGACCCGACCCGGCCCGGCAGCGCTGCCGTGTCCCGCCGCCGCCGCCCTCGCACGGCCCCGGGACTGTCCGGGGAGCGGCCGCGCCGAGGGGACGGGCCGGAGAGGCCAGACCGGACCCCTTCCCGGAAAGCCCGGCGGGAGGGAGGGAGGGAGCGCCCAGCCACTGCCCCTGTCCCGATCCCTGTCCCGATCCCTGCCCCAATCCCGATCCCCCCGTCGCGGCCACACTCACGCCCAGCAGCGCCGCGGAGAGCAGCCCCAGCAGCCCCAGCCGGTTCATGGCGCTGAGCCCCGGCCGCCGCCGCCGCCCTAAGAACGCCCGGGTCCGTTCCCGCCCAGGAAGGGGCGTTGGGCCGCCCGCCCTGGGGCTTCCCCGCCGTCCCCCCGAGGCCGGGACAGCTCTCCCCGCCCGCCCCCACGAGCGCCGCGCTGCCCACCCGGCCCGCGGGCAGGGGCAGTGCCGATCGGGACCCCCGGCCCGGGGTCACGGGCAGGAGTAGGGGCAGGGGTCAGCCGAGGTCCGCGGGGAGGGGAGCGCCTGTGCAGCCCCCCCTCCCCGGCAGGAGCTCCAGGTTTCACTTCTTTTTTCCCGACAGCAGCTCAGAGCTGCAGCTCTTACGAGCACCTCAGAGCTGTGGCCTGGAGAATCCCCGTGGCTATGAATCTGGAGGGCCCCCACAGCTGTGACCTTGGAGAGCCCCAGTGGCTGGGACCATGAAGAACCTCTGTGGCTGCAACACTGGAGAGCCCCCACAACCACCACAAGCCCCACACACGTCAGCCCTGAAAGGGGAAGGGGTGACAGCACCAGGGCCTGGCTGTGCCTCCGTCTAAGTTCCCCAGAAGGGTTGCCAGCAGGCCCCAGGGAACTTCCAGCTTCCCTGCCCATTCTGGAAATGTTTCCTGGACTCCCCTTTCCATCGTGGTGGCCGGGCAGCGAGTGGCAGCTCCTCAGCATTCCTTGGTGCCTCGGTCACACGGGGCACTGCCGCCCTGTCCCCACAGCCACACTGTGCCCCCTCTGTCGTGGTGCCTGAGAGGACACACCACAGCTGCCACTTCCCTGGTCTCCCGGGCTGGTGGCCATGCGTGGCCATCGCCAGGTCACAGCTGCTCCTGGGGAAATTGGGAACCAACCGCATGCTCTGGATTCCCCAACCCGATGTCACTCCCCAGCCTGATGTCACTTCCCAGAACTGACTCGCTTAGGAGCACAAAGGGTCCCAGGGGGAGTCTCAAGGGCAGAGGGAGGTGGCAGTGGCGGAGAGGGGATTTCTGGGCCCGACTCCCCTGGACCCGGCCTGGGAAGTCCCCACAGCCCCAGGCACTGGCTGTGCAGGGTCTCCTGTGGCCCCGGGCTGTGAGTGCCCCTTGCTCCTGGTCCTGGGTGGCAGCAGGACCTGTTGCTCCCAGGCGGCAGGAGCTGCTCCAAGGGGAGCCCCTATGGGAGCCCCTGGTGCTGGTGCTCGCACTGCAGGGCAGAGCAGCGTCGGTGCTGCTGCTCAGATGGCCCTGGGGCTGGGGGTGCAGCACAGAGACCCTGACCCCTGAGCAGTCTTAGCTCCAGTCCCCATCTGATCTCAAACCCGACCCCGGTCCCGGTCTGATCCCAATCCCAGTCTGATCCGAATTCCGGTCTGCTCCCAGTCCCACTCCCGGTCTGATCCCAGTCCCGGTCTGATCCCAATCCCGGTCTGATCCCACTCCCGATCTGATCCCAATCCCGGTCTGATCCCACTCCCGGTCTGATCCCAATCCCGGTCTGATCCCAATCCCAGTCTGATCCCAATCCCGGTCTGATCCCAATCCCGGTCTATCCCGGTCGCGGTCCCGTCGCCTCCCCCGCGCGAGGTCCAGTAGCGCCACCCAGCGGCCGCACCCTCCCGTCCTCCTCGGGACTACAACTCCCGGCGTGCCTTGCGGGGCGGCCCGCGGTGCATGCCAGGATCCAACCCCTTGCCTCGGTAGACATGGCTGGCGGCCCGTCGCCGCGCCGTGCCGTAAAGCGTCGCGTGTCGCCATAGCGATCGCGCTCTCTCCTCAATCGCTTTGCGACGGCGCCGTGCGGCAGCGGCGGGTGGCGCCTTTGTCCTGGCGGCAGCGGCGGCCTGAGGGGGCTCCGGGACCGGGCCGGCAGCGGCGGTGAGTCTGCGGGGCCGCGGCCGCGCTGCGCCGACCGCCCGGCCGAGCGGAGCGCGGCAGCGAGCCCCAGGGGCGGCCCGGTCCCTTCCGGCCGCCGGCTGGGGCCGGGCCGGGCGCGCCTCGCGGCCTGCGGGCGGGCCGCGCCTCCGCCGCGTGTCCGGGCGGTGCGGAACCGCCGGGGCTCGGGGCGGGCCGTGAGCGGCGCTGGCAGCGCCCGGGCCCTGGCGGACTTGCGGGGGCCGCGGGGAGAGCGGCCCGTAGGAGCGGCGGCCCGTCCCCGCCGCCCCGGGAGCTGCGGGGAGCCCGCGGCGTCGGGGCGGGAGGAAGGCGGAGGCGCTCCCCGGGTTACCGTGTGCGGAGGGCGGGGCGGGCGGGTGGGTCGGCCCCGAGGGGAGCCCCCCGCTCCTCGGCACCACTGCCTTCTGCCCTCGGTGCCAGCCGGGCCCGCGGACTTCTCGCGGAGTTGTGTCGTGTTTCGCTTGTGGCAAATTAGCTCCAATGCACCACTCCGGCAGAGTCTTGCTTCCCGAAGCTGTAGCGCTACTAATAAACAACTTTGGGTTTAAGTTTAAGGTTTTTAGAGATGTGGCTTTAATTAACTTCCAGAGGATTTGTTGGCGCAGGAGGTGCCGTGGGCTGTCCTGTCATAGTTACTCCGGGGGGAATTGGCACCTTTAAGCTACTCTGGTGCCTCTCTGGCTGCATCCATACAGAAAGATTTAATGTAGGAATTAGTTGTTCACCTGGTGTAGCGTGGCTAGAGCTGAGACAACAACATTCGTTTATTCTGGTCTTATGATCACTAAATGGCCCTTAACTATGTGATCAACTGCGTGGGAAATGGTCAGAGCCGGGAAATGCTCTTAGATGGAAGTTCTGGAGTAACTCAACTCATCTGAGTGTTGGGATTGAAGTGGGAAAAAGGCTCCCTGTTTTTCTTCACGTGGAAAGCTCTTGCACCTTGTTCCTCAGCCACCCCCACATCCCCGCCCTTGAGGAAAAGAAAAGGGAGTTTCTTACAGCTTTTTATGTTGCAAGTGAGGTGTCCCAGCAGCAGCTGGGGGCCTGTTTGACACCTGTTTGCTGTGTGTGTCTGTGGCATCCCCGAGACCACCCGCACAGATGTGGCCCCAGCAGGTGTTTGCAGGGGCTCTGTGTCCCCATCCCTGTCCCTGGTGGTGCTCAGAGCTGGATAAGGAATCCTGCTCCTCATGGGAACTTGGGCCAGATGGGTCCTTCCATGTTTTATTGCCACTTTGTCATTTTGGGGGAATTTTGAAAACTTCTTTCCCCTCAGCTAATGAGAACTTGAGCTGCAGTAGTGGAATAGAAATCCAGTGCTTCCATGCAGAAAAACGTGATGAGATTTGGCCCTTCTGTTGGGGAAGGTAAAATTCTATATATGCATGTGTGTGTGGACAAACTTGCAGGACGATTGGGGCAAAAGTGATGGAGAGAATGAATTTTGTTGAATTTTGGTTTCGGTGTTGGGTTTTTTTCCTCCTCCCTGTTCTGGCAGTTCATTTTAAGAGGTTTATTAGGCAGGGAGCCGTTCTCTGCCTCCCATTTCTGCAGAGTTTCCCAAAAAATGGGAAGAGTGATACAAATGTGAAATTGATTGATCTTTAAAGAATAAATAAATAATTTTATGTCTCAAATCTGGAGTAGATGTATTTTTCATGCCAGTTAAGTGTTGTAAAAGTATTTATATGAAGCTGGGTTTGTGTTTTTGGACATTTGGCTTGTTTTATTTAGAGATAACTTTTAAATTGTATCCTCTAGGTTGCTGCTAGGGATTGTGCTGGTTGTAGGCACCACATGATTAATAGGAGAAGTTTTTGTTGATACACTCAATGTCATCAGCTTTCTCTTTCCAGGCTTCTTGCATGCTGCAAGCAGAAAATCCCATCCTGCATTCCTCTAGGTGAATGTTTAGGAAGTAGGACAACTTTATTAAATAGTTTTCAAACTTTCGAGTTCATCTTGAAAGTTCCAGGGTTATCCATTTCTTTCAGCTTTATCTGGTGGTGAATTTTGAACCAGAAAGTCTGAATTGTGGGGGTGGTGTTTCTTATTAGCTTGGTAGTGTTTGTTATGTTATTTTTGTTTGTTGTTTTTTTTGTTTTGTTTTGTAATTGTTTGAGTGAGTTTGTGCAGTGAATGTTGCTGACTGCTCCAGCTGTGTGCAGTGGTGTGGGCTAAGGGAATGTGCTTTTGCTGCATGGGGGAGGTGAGGAAGGGTGCAGCATTTACCTGGGGGTGGTTAAATTCCCAGCTGTGGACCCGCCTGCTGTGGGAGCTGACATCTCCATGGGGACAGGGATTTGCTGTCTGACGGGTATGGGTGAGAAGCTTTGCTTTCTGGAGTTGGAAAGCTGAGATATCACATTTAGTGAAGTGATCCAGGTGTGGTCTCTCAGGAGCGTTTCAGCAGTACTTCCTGATGCCTCATTCCAAGCCTTATTGGAATATTTGGGTGCTGTTATGCAATGTTGCAATGAGTGTTTCCTTTCCGCTTATTAAAATATTGCATAAATTTCAACGCTTCTTGCCAGTGGATTGAAGAACTAGATGTGACAACAATGGGTGTATTGAAAAGCTTAAAGTTAAGGCTTTTTAGTGGAAAATTAGTGCTATTTGTATCTTAGGTTGGAGTTAAACCATTAAAACCTATCTGCAAAATAATTAGGTTTGCTACCTTTCGGTATTACAGAAAAGCTCAACCAAAATGCTGCAGTGAACGTTTTTGCCTGACCTCTGTGTCCCTCATATTAAGATTTCTCTGGAGTGAAGTTTGCGTCAAGCAGACCCAGTTGGCTTCTAGTCTGCAAAGCTGTTAAGTTTAATCTTGTTCCAGTTTAATTTTAATGTCATGGATTGAAATTATATGCATGGCCATTTTTCTTTTTTGCGAAGAGTTGGATTTGGAACGAAAGCAAAATGGCTCGAGGACGCAAGAGCAATAGCATCAAACAGAGCGACTTCACTAACAGCACCAATCCTCAGGATTTAGAGAGAAGACTTTTTGTCGGCAATTTGCCCACAGACCACATGACTCGTGAAGAAATGGAAGAGATATTTTCAAAATATGGCAAAATCAGGGGTTAGTATATTATCTTATGGCTTTTCGTGGCAGGGATTTCAGTGAGAAATATCGCTTCATGCTTGTCAAATGCTATTTGAT